TTTCTCTATTTTCTCCATCAAACAATTCTCCCCTTTTTTTTGTTCTTCCATTCTACCATCTGTGTTTCTTTTTTTTTTTTTTTTTTTAACCAGGGATTGAACTCACAACCACATGCTGCAAGGCAGGCACTTATGCCACTGAGCTAAATCCCCAGCCCCTATCTGTGTTTCTTGGGAGGTGTTTAGCATTTCTTTAATTATTCTATTTATATCTTGCTTTACTTGGTTAAATACTTTACTTTTGAACTCATCTATGAGGTCCCGAAGATATTGCTTTATGTCTATTGGTGCCATCCTGATATTGCATGTTTTCTGCCCTCATTCTCCTTTGCATTTACCTTTCCTGGATCACTGTTCTCAGGATTAGGGACTGAAGACCCTTTCTTGTTGCCTCCTCTTCTCATATTTTTTGTTCCTTCCATACAGGCGTATATAGGAGGCCCAGTTTCTTTCTTTGTCAGTTTCAGTTTGTCTGAAGCACGTTGACTAGGTGGTCCTGCCCACTACAGTGTACTAGGAGGTACAGACCCAGGCAGCCTATGTTGGGCCCACCCCTCCAGGTCAACCTACTGAAGGCTTCACTGTGTTACGGTGCACTGACAGGCGCAGGGACTTGGTTTGGGTTAGCCTATTGGGCCTCAGTCTGCGGCATCAGCCACGTCAAGCTCTCCCTACCAATCCTACTTGAGGGAATATGTAACTGAAGTCACTGCAGCACCCTATTTCAGCCAGTCTGCCCAGTCCCAGAATGTCCTCTGTTGGAGCCTCTTTGTCTATGGAAAGGTCTTTATTCCTCTCACTCACTGCAGGTTGATGCAGGGTTCCCTGCCAGCTCTGTTCTCAATTCAGTTTGCCGATTTCCACTCTCAGAGTGTTCGCATCTCCAGTGAGTTGAAACTAGTGGGCTATCCTGGCTGCACCAATTCAGGCACGGCAGTGGCAGCGAGTTCAATCCATGAGTTCAAGCAGCAGCACCAAGACTTTAGCTATTTCAATCGTAGCACTGGGACTCCATTTCCAGTTGGTTTCTCTCAGCTTAGTTGGTTCTTGGGTCAGCAGGCTATATATCCCTCTGCTTGGGACTCCCCATGCCACACCATTCCTGGAATCTAAACTGGCTATCTCAGAGAGCCTCTGTAGCTGCTGTTATCTATCTGCCATCATTTCTTGATTCCTGGTTGTATCATTCTTTTCATCAGTGGTTCCACCTTTCTTGTGTAGGAGTTGAAAAAAATAATTTAGAACTGATTCAAGGTTGAAGGTTTACAGAGATGATAGAGTAGCAGATAGAGCTACATCAAGCATCAGCCCTTTGTTTATCCACAATGCTCTGAAGTGCTCAGCCAAACCTACTCTACTTTGTACAACTTTTCAGACTCTCTGGGCCTCTTATCCACTACTTGTTCTGTTGCATTTTGGCCCTGTTTTGGGATTTACAGTTAAATCTGTTGTGTATAGCATTTGAGTTTTACGTGATTTCACTCTACTCTTTTTCCATCTGGACAAATGCTTCTTTAGATGGTTCAGGTAATGGCTCTTCTGACTGGACCTGACTCCAGGGACCTCCTTACCTGGAAGTACCTTCATCAGTCAACTGCTTAATAGATTTTTCAGGGCCTGAAAGATAGGATTAGCCATGGAATTCTGTAGGGCAGGCACTGGAAATGTCAACCACTCACTGAAAGTAGAATTAAAGGAGGCTGGAGGTTTAGCTCAGCGGCATAAGCACCTGCCTTGCAAGCAGGCAGTTGTGAGTTCGATCCCCGGCACCGATAAAAAGGAAAAAGACAAAAAAAAAAAAAAAAAAGTAGAATTAAGATTGGGCAGGGAGGATTAGTCAATAACAGTTTTTGAAAATTACAGGATGCTTTTGTGACACTTTGGTGCTTTGTCCCATGTCATTTTTTCCCCAAATCCTATGAGGTAGATGTCACTATTTCCTACAAATGAGAAACCTTATCTGCTAAAGAGCAAAGCAACTTGCTTGATGTTATGTACACAGCTAGTAAGTTACAGGAGCCTTATTTCTAAGCCAACTTTTTAACTCAAAAATTCAGGCATTTCTCAGTATGGCATATTGTCTTGCAGACAGGAGAGTCCTAGAAGTTAAGGTTAAAATGATAACTTCACAGGAACCTAAAATTTTCCCCTGAATAGTGTTGTACTAAAATGCAAAAAAACTAAAATGCAAAGTTAAAAAGATTGTCATTAGCACAAAGAACTCTATCATTCTGTGCTATGCTTATCATCCCAGTAACCATGTACCTGGAACACTGACCACATAGGTATAGATTAATTAACTGAGGCATTGCCATAATGTTCTGTATGCACCATCACCTTAGTAACCTGTTTGCTGTGTCAACCTTTGTTCCCTTTGTGAGAGACAAATGATGCTGTGTCAACCTTTGTTCACTTTGTGAGAAACAAACGTTCCTGAAATTACTGGACCAAGGAAAGAACGGGCTAACTACCATCTGTGAAATGTCTCTAACCCCAAGCAAGGAGGAACAAAGGCCTTCCCCATTCTTGTTCTCCTCACATCAGCGGTTTAATCACTATGAAAATCTGTCAAAATTCTAACCCAGTTGCACAGCTTTGCAAACTTCATCTGTACTGTGCCACTGGTGCCAGCTTAAATAAAATGCTTCTTTTTAAAAGACATCTTGCACCCTTCTTGACAACATCACAGGGCTTGTTTTTGGGGTACAACAAATAGTTTGGGTTTTTAAAGGTTTATAAGTAGAGAATGTCTTCATAGTAAAAGATAATTTAAGACTTTTTATCCCACCAGTAAGAGGAAATTAAAAAGCAGATCAAGCTGGGCATGGTGACACATGTAATCTCAGTTACTTGAGAGGCTGAGGCAGAATGATTCTATGAGGCCAGTCTGGGCAATTTATTGAGATCTTATCTCTGAATTTTAAAAGGTCTGAGGATGTAGTTCAGTAGTACAGAATATGAGCCTGGAAGATGGGTAGAAATTTGAAGAAACTGAGCTTCAGGCTTTCTTCAAGTTTAGTATCCCTGACTCCCTAACAACCAGAAGTTTGAATCCCACTTGATGTTTTGTTACTACAGGACCAGATTAGCAGAGTGAGTGAGCTTGATTCAATTTTCCTAATTCCTCAAAAGCATACTTTTCAGTAAGCACACTGATAGGATTGCAACACAGGACAAATTCTGCCTTCTACTTGCCAAAATTGTTATAAATTAATGGGAAAGGGGGCCAGGGATATAGCTCAGTGGCACCATGCCTGCCTGGCAAGCACAAGGTCCTGAGTTTGAGTCACAGTACCCCTACCCCAAGGCAAAAAAAAAAAAAAAAGAAGAAAGAATCCAGGACTGGTAACATAGCCATAATATACTGTAAATATTGCCAAGGGCAAGGCAAAAGTTTTTCATTATTGAAAGACAATTCATAAGCTACTGATTCAAGAAAAAGACTAAGTCCAAGATTTAGGGAGTTTCCTGTGTCTTTTTTTTTTTTTTTTTTTTTTTTTTTTCCTAATACTGGGAATCAAACTCAGGACCTCATACTTGCCAGGCAGGGACTGTATAGCCGAGCTATACACCCAGCCTCTTTCTGTGATCTAGTGGGTCAAGAATATAGTCCAAGAAGGCAAAGTACCTAGGCATGAGAGTCATGGTGGAAGGGTTGGGCTAAATAAATGCAATGTGGTCAAAATAAAAACAAGTTTAACCATTCTGAGAATTTCTCACAGGCAAATGTAGACTTACATAAATAAGAAAGAGCAGTATTCTGCACACTAGTGCGTTGTCCCAGGTAAGAAGGAAAAGCATCATGAATCTAAGACACAAGAGCTTGTGTTAGCTGTGCATGGTGGTGATACATGCCTGTAATCCAAGTATGTGGGTGGCTAAGGCAGAAGATTCCAAATTTGATTCCAGCATGGAACTTAATGGCCTCAAAATGAAATAAGAAAAGGGATTGGGGGATAGCTCAGTGGGACAAAGAGGCGATTGTGGTGGTTGAAGTAGGTTGGTAGTGGGAAGCAAGTTAAGAGTCTGACAGCTACATGTTAGTGGTTGAAATATGTGTACACAGACCCCACACAGCATTTCTCCTGCTTAGTAGCCACTCCAAGAATTCAGAGAACTGTTCCCTGGGGAGTAGAATTGGGATAGAAAACACAGGTCCAAAAAACCTGTTTCTTGTGCAACAAAGCAAATTCACCATTTCCTGTCTCCTACTACAAAAGGCATTTTTGGTCAGAAGTGAGACATGGTCCCCAAGATATAGCAGGGAGATTTTTGTTTTTTTCTATGAAGGGCTTAAACCACTATCAGGCTCCTTGTGGAAAAGTACAAGTTCTCACTGATCATGAAACAAATAACTAATGGATCTCTAGGGAACTTTCTTTTTCCAGGCACTTTTAAGCTTAATTATAAGATCTTCATACATCTGTGAGGTCATCCTTAGATTCTAAAAATACATTAATTTTATTTGGCTACTTAAAAATGCAACAGCATTTCTCTGTGAGAGCCTTGAGAAATCAAGAGGCAACTACCAATCTTTATTATGTGAGACATTTTTACTTTACTATAGTATGGAATTACTATTAAAACAAACATGAATAAATTTGTCAAGGCCTTTGTTTCTGTTCCTTCACCTATATACACATAGATCCTACTTCAAAGGAACATACATGACATGCCATGTGTCAAAAGAAGACAAGCTTCTTGGCTGCTGGAAGATAAACCCAAGCTGGGGCCCTGCACTGAGAAATACCTTATCTCTCTCAGCCACCTGAGTGTCATGAAGAAGTGAGACAGCTAGAGACTCTTAGAGAAAGGCAGTAAATACTTTTTGACATTCCTTATTTTAAATATTAATAAATTTATTGCCTTAACATGAGATGACATTCTGTGGTAACATGTACCATTCTAGTGATATCTTCTAAATTTAATGAAGCTTCCAAGAATTTTAATATCTTCTGCAGAAAAGATGGTAAAGAAAGCATTCTGGTAGCAATTTAACATAATTTGAACCAACAACTTTATTTTTGGGCACTTCTTGGGAATTAAACCTAGGCTCTAGTTGGACTAGGTGAGTATTCTGCTGTAGAGCTGCAATCCTAGCCACACCAACAACTTTAAATCATAATCCTACTTCCAATAATTTTCTCTAAGTACATAATCAAAAATGCCAAAATATATGCTTAAGAATGTTCATTGTAATATGCATAGTTTTAAATAGTACACAAAATGTTGGCAAACATGGCAACCACATTATCAGACAACTATTTAAAGTGACATTTCTAGATATTTAATCGTATAGTGAAATGCTTAAAAAATAAAATGCACAATTTAAAGTTATTTTTATATTATCCCTAGGTTATTGGTCTTTTTGTTTGTTTGCTTGTTTGGGGTTTTTTTGGTGGTTGTGAGAGGGTCTTATTCTGTAATTCAGGCTGGCCTTGAAGTCACCATTGTAGCCTAGGCTGGCCTTAAACTCAGTGATCCTCCTGTTTCAGCCTCCCAAGTGCTAAGATTACTGGTGTCACCACCATACCCAGCAACCAGTTTGGAAAAAATATATATTTAACACATTTACATGCATGAAATTAGCTGTGGTACCAAATCTTTATGGAAGAACTAGAATTTATTTTTTTCTTTGTATTTTTAACATGATTTCCAGTTTCTCATTTTACATATAGAATAATCTTTTGAAGAGTTAGAGAACCTTTTTTTGGGTAGAGATTAATATTGAACTCAAGGCCTTATGATGCTAGACTTACATGTCTTCTACCACTGAGCTATGCTCCTAGTCCCAAGAACATTTGAAATACCCCTAAGGTGGCAGATTCCGAGCTAGAATTTACCATTTAATCCCCACAGCAATTGTGAGGTAGTTGAGGAACTGAGGCCCCTATTTAACCAACTTGCCCAGGGTGCCTGGATTCAAGCCCAGGAAACCAGCAGGCTTCCTGCTGCACCATGTGCCTTAGCTGCTGCAGCTCCTGCTGGGCTTTTGGGAGGCTTACAGTGCTGATCACCAATGAAAGAGTTGTGTGCAGGCTGGCCAAGAGCAAGGCTTTATTTTCCTTTCTAAATTCTTTATTTTCCTCTCCAAAAGTAGCAAACTTTTTGTACTAGGGTAAGAAACAGCCTTCTTCATGGCTAAGACTCAAGGTTCCATACTGATGCAGTTTTGCTCCACATGACTGCCCTCTCAGAGCCCATTTCCTCATGGCCACATATCAGCTGTCCAGCTTCTTGGTTTGGCATTTTGTCAGGTTTTGAGCAGGACAGGGCAGAACTGTACACCCCCACCCCTTCCAGCCAGCTGGCTCCCCAGTATCTTCCCTAGATACTAAAACAGGCTGTATGCTCTGGCTCCCTACTCAAACCAATGGTGGGGGGGGTGGTAAAAATATGCCAGCTATGTGAACAATCAGAAGAGTATCTGGCATCACATTTGATCTGCACTAACTTTATTTCAGTCAAATAGTGCCTCTCAGCAGCCAGGAGCCTTGGCACACCCTAAGCTTTAATGTTCATCTGGGTTCCCAGTACTGCCTTGGTGAGGGTTGCCCAGTCCCCAAGCTGACTCTGTTCCAGAAGGGTCCCCAGTGATACTAACTGTATTCCTCATGAAGGAGACAAGAGGTAGAATTTTTCACCACTAAGTCCTCTTCACTCAGTTCCTGTTTCTTCTCAGAGACAGAGACAGGAAGTTACTTGAATGGGATCACAGTAAGTCAGTGATAAGACTGGAACATGCCACCAATTCATTCCACCACCACAGTTTATAATTTAAAAACTAAGCTAGGCATGGTGATGTAGGCCTATAATCCTAAACAATTGGGAAACTGAGGCAAGAGGGTCACCGTGAGTCTGAGGCCTGCCTGGCCTACATAGTGAGTTCAAGTCTAGCTTGTACTACATAGAGATATTTTCTCAAAAAAAAGATTAAAGAAGTATTTAGTGAGTTTTATCTGGGAAGAGGAGACGGGGAATGGCACATGACACGCAAAGTAACAATGGAAATAACCTGGTTCTTTTTTATTTACTCTTTATGTAAAAGGATTATAGGTTCACAAAAGTTTGAGAAATACCAGGTTAAATAAAGTCAAACAGGTTATGTTACTGAGGATTTCTAAGAACCTGTAGTGTGCTCATGCACATTCTGAAGAGTTTAGAATAAAAGTATATTTTAAACACAGTTAACTGTACCAGGACTCCAGTGCACAAGCTTTGAGAAGCACTGCTCAAGGGTAAGCCCACTGGATCCAGTCAAGCGCCACAACAGGGCTTCACTTGTAATCCTAGCATTTAAGGAGGGTGAGGCAGGAGGGTCACAAGTTCAAGTCCTTCTTGGGCAATTTTGTGAGACCCTGTCTCAAAATATAAAAGGACTAGAGATATAACTCTGGTAGACTGCCCCTGGTTCAATACCAGTACTAAAAAGAAAGTCTTAATAGTCATCAGCCACTATCTTCAAAACTACGGCGCTGTAACAAACAAGGTTGTCATTCTGTAGTCTCCTGCCTGTACTTCACTATGGGTTTATGGTATTTTTCCACTTGCTGGTCAAAGTTCCTGGAAGAAAACCCTGCCTGGAAGAAGTTCACTGGAGTCAGAAGGTACTTTAGTGCCAGGTTTCTGGACTTAGTAGTGATAAAAGCAGCAGCACTGCCTCTAGGAAACAGGGAAGAATCATGATCTGTCCAGGCACTTTGGTTCCCTGTGGGCACTGGGTCATTACTGTCTCCCCTAGTTACCAAGGGGTGCCCTAAGCCTAGTTCCTCCCTGGTTTCTGGAAAAACCTCATCCGAAAATCCCAATGGGGAAGTTAACACAGTCACCATCTTCTGGGACTCACAGAAAGGGACTTCCTCATCCCATTCTTTGTTGCACAGATCTGGGAACAATTGCTTCTTGACCCTCAAATGATGGGAGGACAGCTGCTTTTCAAGGTTTCTAGGACAAGGAGAAAGGTTTTCTTTCTTGGTCTTCTTTGTGTCTCTGTCAGCTTGAGACTTACCAGCATTTTCCTGAGGAGATTCAAACACAACACCTTGGATTTTTGGCCTCCTTATCCTCTTTTCTAACAGCCAGAGAAATGCTGGTTTTTTAGGGGAGGTGCTCATGTACTGCTGTACTGAGTCTGGAATTAGGGGAATGGAGAGCATCGGGCTCAGGCTGTTTTGAAAGTAGTTCTGGCAAGGCTGTCGACTGACGATGGGTACCACCTGGCAAGGTTTCAGTGCAGCAACAAAGGCGCAGAGCTCAGTGTAGGAGGAATGGTCAGAGTAAGGGATGATGTGGATGTCAGGGTGCGATCTGTGCATTTGCCGGCTTGTGGGAAGGATGGCAATCGTAGGGTGGGTCTGGTTCCACCGCAGCATGGCAGAACGGCAAATCTCCATGTGTTCCACAGCATGGATACGACCAGCCTTCTCTTCCACTGTGAACACATCTGCCAGGCCCAGCAGCTGTACCAACTCCAGGCGCTGAGGACTCAATACTACCCAGGTCTGAAACTCCAGGGCCAGCTGTTCCAGCAATGACTCCTTTCCCAGGCTATAGAGCCCTGAATAATACAAAAGAATTGCAGAAAGTGAAAAAAGAGAATGAGGCTATTGGAGAATCCTAACAAAACAAGCAAATGTTTAGCAAAACAACCAAATGTTTAGCAATTCATGGGTCAACCTGGGGAATATATTAGGGAAGAGATGGCACCTGAACTGAACTGCGTGAAAGACAAGGGGCAAGGATACACAGAATCCACTCAGTCTTTCAGTTCAACAGAAGAAAGTATCTGTCAAGTATCAAGCACTGTGAAGATGAATAAACAATAAAAATGACTCAGCCCTTCAGGAATGCCATTTACTATATTTCCCAGAAAATGAGACCTAACCCAAAAATAAACCCTAGCACGATTTTTTCAAGGTACTCATAAGCCCAGCCTCCAAAATAAGCCCCCATTAAGGTCATCAGCCAGACAGACACATTTAGTATACCCATTGCAACACATGATGGACATACTGAATTATAAATAGTAATACATAAATATAATGATGACATTAATATTTAAATAAATTATAATTAAATATTTGTAAATACTCAAGCAGGAAACTTTGGATGAGAGGTGAATGCCTATATAAACAGATGAACTCAAAACTTATTGACACAAGTGATCAACAGGAATACAGCTACAATAATCAAATGATGTATGCACTGATAATGCACCGACATGATTGTCTCTAATATGAATCTACATAATGCAGTGCGTTGTGTTGTAACAAATGCACTTGCGTGAAACAGACTTAAAGGACTTGTGTGAAAGACAAATGTTTTCTGAATTTTAGGGCCCCAAATTTTTTGTTGCTTTGGTATGGACCATGATTCTTAACTGTCATCATTTTTGTTGCCACTTCTGTCTCATAAGTCTTCAATTAATACTTGATTTATGGAAACTGTGAAACCCAGCTTGCAAGAGGTCATGACTTAAATGAAGAATTTATGGAATAAAATTACTGACAGCTATGTTGGCTATGTACCACAAGCAGGCTACATGGACAAGAAGTGCTAACTTAAGGAGCACTAGCACTCTATTACTGGAGATAAGAGACTGGAGCCAATAGTTGTACAGGAAAGAGTTGTAAGATTTCAGTCCACATTTTAAGGTTTTGGAATTATGATGATGTTCTAGATGACATGACTGTATTTGAATAAATGTATACCACTGTACATGAAAAAAATAAGATATCTCCTGAAAATAAGCCCATTGTGACTTCTGGAGCAAAAATTAATGCAAGACTAGTTTATTTTGGGGGAATATAGTACACACAAACCCAGCAACAGTGCATTTAAGGTCGGTATTCGACATATGCACAATGTGAAAAAAGTACAAAAATAGTAGCTACCAGTTAATACAATTAGGTAAAATTTCTGGAAAATGACAGCTGAGTTATCTGTTACAACGATAGGTTATCTTGGCAAGGAAAGTTATGCTGGAAAACATTCTAAGAAGAACCACTTCAGTATTACTAAAGAAGTAACTGGTAAGGAATGACACGAACCTGGCAAACCAAGGTCATTTACTGTGGAAGAGGGGAATTTAATTCTGTCAGTAAAGAGAGTACTGCTGAAGGGGGGGATTTAATTCTGTCAGTAAAGCAAGAAAACAACTCACTATAACAAGGAATAATATCAGAGCAGAGTTGGGGGGGGAGCAACTGTTATTTAATGGCATGGTTGAAAAGAAGCCAATTGGAAGGCTCAGATATAAATGGAGAGGAGTGGACTCGGTGCACACCTGTAATCCCACCTCTCAGGGGCTGAGGCAGGAGGATCTGTGATTTCAAGGCCAGCCTTCACTATATTGTGAGACACTGTCTCTAAAAACAGAACAAAACAAAGAAATAAATGGAGTTGTGCATCTGGGTATGGTTATAAGTAACAAAGATAGGAGGTTTTTTTAACATTTGTTCTCAAATGCTTTCTGAACTCTATCCTCAACTAGACTGTGAATTTAAAAGAACATATATTTGTTTTACATCTTCTTTATTCTGTCTTTGGGCACAAATTTACCTGAGCTTCTGCTATGTATTCTTGTTTTTTGTTGTCTCTATACTAAATTACTAGACTCAACCCTCAAAGTCAAAGATCATATTTTGTTCATTTTTCTATCCTACTGCCTATTGGAAACTTTGTATTAGTAGGGACTTACATACATTTGCAAAATTAATCAAGCCCTACCATAACACCCTCCTAGCCAGCAATACTCCTCCAAAAAAGTTCTGCATACAAAATTTCAAGAACGGTTAGGGCTATTTTCCCATGAGCAGTTAAGCAATCCTGAGGGTAAGAAATATTTCTCAACCAATTTGATAATCATCCTGGAAAGTATATAATTTATTAAGGTATGTTTGCAATACATAATAATTACATTTATCTTGGGGAAATGGCACATACAGATGTATTTTCATCTTCTTTTTTAGTTCCTCTATCCCTTCCTGCCCTTCCATTATAATTTTTTTAGTGTTTTTGTTTAACCTCACTTTGAAACTCTTTCAGAGCTAAGATATGCCTTTTTAAAGTATTCATAATGTTCCTTTCTGTGGACTTATTATAATTTTGAAAGCAACCCAAAAAAATCACCTAGAACTAAATCTGTTACATTTTATAAAACAAAAAATGATTTTCACAAACTATCTCTCAAAACGACAACTCCAAAAAAAAAAAATCTCCCAAGTTTTTTTTTTTTTTTTGGTACCAGGGATTGAACTCATGACCTTGAGATTGCCAGGCAGGTGCTTATACCACTGAGCTAAATCCCCAGCTCTTCTCCCAAGTTTTTTAAAACTGTAGTGGGCTGGGGAGATAGCTCAGCAGCACAAGTGCCTGCCTGGCAAGTGTAAGATCCTGAGTTCAATTGTCAGTACTAAAAAAGATAGAAAAATAAATAAATTATACTGGTGATTGTATCCAAGGCCTTCCCATTGAGCTACATCCCTGGTCCTTTTTGTTTGGAAATAGAGTTGTGCTAAGTCACTAACTTGCCCAATCTGGCCTCAAACTTTCAATTATCCATCCAGCATTAAATCACTGGACTGCACCACCATGCTGCTTTTCCAAAAAGTTTTGTACCATTGTGAAATTACTAGAAAAAGGAAACAGTTGTTTACTTAGTGCATCTAATTTAAAGCATAACACTCATATCCTGGACTACAAGACCCTGGCTCAAAAAAATAAATCATTAAAGAAATAATTAAATAAATTGCTGGGCATGATGGTGCATGCCTGTAATACCAGCACTAGGGAAACTGAGACAGGAGAACTCTGTGAGTTTGAGCCCCGCCTAGGCTACACAGTGAGTTCAAGATCAGTCAAAATTACATATCAAGCCCCTGTCTCAACCCCACCCCATTAAATATAGACTATGGGGAAGTTAAAAGTACTATAAAAGATGAAAAGGTTGGATTGATACAGGGGGTTAGTAATTGGAAATGTGGAAGAATGGCAATCAGGTGTCAATTTTAAACAAGGTGTTCAGGGTAGGTTTCATGGAGAAAGTGAGAGATATACGAAGAATTGAAAGATATAAGAACTAGAGGTTCACTTACTATGAAAAAAAAAAAAAGAAAGATATAAGAACCCTCAAAGAGGGCTGGGATTTAGCTCAGCAGCATAAGCACCTGCCTTGCAAGCAGGCAGTCGTGAGTTTGAACCCCAATACTAATTAAAAAAAAAAAACCCTCAAAGAACCTAGATTTGCTATCTATGGGTGAGAAGAAAAGGAAACGACTCACCTATTTTTATGTTATGTTGTGGGTGCCTTCGAATGAGCTGGATAATTTGGTGGGCAGCTTCTTGTCGGGAAGGAAGAACCAGGGCTGGGTTGCAATTGGTATTGTCTAAATATAAAGTATGGATCTGCTTCCCTAGTGCCAGGGCTGGATACTTCAGCATGGATGGTGTATATCGAAAATCGCCTGGAAGAACATATTAGAGAGAGTCAGAGACAAAAAGGTAAAAATAACAAGGATACCTTGTTATCCAACAATGATAGGCATTTACTTACTAATCTGTAAAAAAACTGTCATGTGCACTAAACTGTGTGATACAGCTTCTTTGTGGAAATGTGTCCACCCAGTTCCTATTTTTATTTACATACTCTTTACAACATTTGGACCATCAAAGATGGGAAATTAGTTGAGAAGGATCACTGTTCTTATATGGGGTGATGATAGAAAACCTTTGGTTTTCTTTTATGAGTGAAGGTTGCTCAAAGTTGTATCTTAGCTGGAAAGTGGGAGGAAAGTGTTGTGAGGCTCACCTGTGTAAAGAATCGTTCCAAAGTACCCTTCAAAGAGAAACATCACAGAACCAGGGCAGTGATTGGCATCCATGAGGGTTACAGTCATAGTCTCTCTTCCAGTTTCATCTAGAGGTAACACATGGCTCTCACCAACTTCCAGCACTCTGATCCACCGCTTAGACACCTGGGAAAACAGCTGGTTATCCCAATGGCCGCAGACACCAACCCTGCAGGATCAGAGAATATGCCTTTCTCTTCCCACTTCCTCACCCAACTTTTATTTAGTTTTCAATTAAGAATTTGAAAGTAGTCTCAAATTTGCTCCAGATCATAATAATCCCTTGGCAATGGTTTAAAAAAAAAATCCAGCCAGATTCCCACACCAATAAAATTTACGATGAATTGGGGGAGAGAGGAATGAATAAGGGCTGGAGAACCTGTATTTATCCAGCACATTGGATGAATTCTTTACATTGCCCGAATTCAAACCGAGGGCTTTGCACGTTACGCAAGCATTCTCCCACTGAGTCACATCCCCAGCCTAAATGGATTTTTAAGGCAAATTTGATAAACACTGGTCTAGCTTAAGTGAAAGAGTAGGAATAATTCTCTTGGCTGAACTCAATGATCTTCCCAGCTCAGAGCTAAAAAAAAATATCTCCAGTAGGCCTGTTGGAAGTCACACACCTATTCTGAGCTAAAGATGCAATTCTGGGCTCAAACAATTCCTGAATTTGCAAAAATCAATCCCTAGTCCCCATTCAGTGATTTCAAGGTTATGAACACATCATAAGGTCCCACCCAAACGCCTGGACCACCTCTCGGAGGCCAACTTCAGCTCCGTACCTGTAGTTGACGATGCAAGAGGTGGGCAGTGATTGGGGAGCAGTAGAGGGGCCGGGCCCAAGTGCTAGACAGGCCCACCGTGTGGTCCGAGTGCATGTGCGATAGGAAGAAGATCCGTGCGGCCCCAGCCCGGCGAAGGCTCCAGAAGTCCACAGCAATGGGTGTATGGGGGATCAGGACCCCGTTCATGGTGGTGAGGCTGGAGTCACCCGTGGGGGGTTCTCGGTGACTGCGCTTCTGCGTGTGGATTGCACAACAACGCCGAGACCATGCTGGGGCAAAAACAACGTTAGTGCCCCTAAAGGAAAGCCAACTCAGATGAGGACGAAGGCACAACACTGAGCAAAGAAGGAAGTGACCGTGCTCTGGGGTGTCCGGCAGCAAGACCCCACCTTGCGAAAAGCGCACACATAGCGCCACTCCCACCCGCGCGCGGGAATGGAGGCTGAGCCGGCAGTCAAAGCGCGCGCTGCTGGGCGGAGACAGGCCAGAGTAGCAGATCCCCGATAGTCCGCCGCAGTTTCTACTGAGCCGCGCAGCAGCGCCCGGAGGTGAGAGGTTGGGGGAAGGGCACTCTAAGGTCGAGGCCTGAACTGAGCTGTGCGGTGGCACTGAGAGTGGCAGCTGCTCCGAGAGGCTTCTCGGCGAGCGGGCGGGACTTCCGCCGAAAGCGTGAGTGGGCCCTTCGGTGACTGCAAAGGTTAGAAGGGCTGGCCCTGGAGAGGGAGGGGTCTGCGGCCTGTCGGGCCAGGTGGGAAATCCCTTAGGGACTGAGAGCCCGAGAGGTCTGTGGGCGGGGCGAACAGCTTGCAGGTTAAAATTCAGGGTCTGTAGGGCTCGGGGCATGGAAGAGAAATGAAGTATAGGTGTCAGAGCGAATAGGTTCCTGCCTTGAGGAAACCAAGGTTGGGGCGAGATCTCGCCTTTAGGGTTTCTTTCTTTCTTTTTTTTGACACAGGGTCTCGCTATGCAGTTCGGGCTGACCTTGAGCTCACTTTGTAGCCCAGGCTGGTCTCGAACTCGCAACGATCCTCCCACCTCAGCCTGCGGAGTGTTGGGATTACAGGCATGAGCCGCCACGCCCGGCGTCTTTAGGGTTTTCACTGACCTACATTTCCTTTACTCAGACTCCCGCCTCGGGACTCGGAGCCTGCAAGTTACCGAGGGATCTGTGGGAACTGCCCAGAGAGTGTTGGAGAAAATGCCGTACTTCGGCTCGGAGGACGTGGTGAAGGAACTGAAAAAGGCTCTGTGTAACCCTCACATTCAGGCTGATAGACTGCGTTACCGGAATGTCATCCAGCGAGTGATTAGGTATCACCTGCCTGTTTTAGCGTCCCAACCTCCACCCAGCCCAGCCCACCTTGCATTTTCCATCAGCTCTCCACCCTGAAACAGTAAATGAACTTTCTCACAAGGTCTTAACCTGCTCTTCTGGAATGCTATCTCAGTCTTGTGGAATCTTTTACTCACTTGAGTAGTTTCCTTTATGTCACGAGCTGGAACAATTACACACTGCTGACTCCTGGATCTATAATATTATCTAGTACAGATCTCCATTTGTAGCTTTAGAATCATAAATCCCACTGTCCGCATGGCATTTTCACCTAGCTAGTTCATCAAAGGTATGGCAAAAATAACACTAGTATTTTCCCTCCTTCCGGAACCTGTTCTTCGGCTTATTTTTATATTACCAGCCAGCCTTCTAAGCTTGCCAGTCAACCATGATGACTCCTGATCCTTCACTTCTCGTGTCTGATGGTATCAATAATTTTAAATATCCCCTTTTTCTTATCTTTTTTATTGGCACTTTCGTTGTTTTGGTTTATTACCAAAGCCAACTAGTAACTTACTAGTGGGTCACCTTGCCTCTGGAATTCATTTAGAATTTTTCCATTATTCAAATCTGAACACATAACTTGTGCGTACAGCTCTGATTTACATACCTTAATATGCACAAAAGACCCTTGGAGTGCTTGCTTGTTTTTCTACTTTTTTTTTTTTTTTGAGACAGGGTCTAGCTACATGGTTCAAACTGACCTTGAACTCACAACAGACCTTCCGCCACAGCTTCCTGAATGCTGAGATTACTGGTGTGCACCACCATGCTTGGCTGTGTTTTTTGTTGTTGTTGTTGTTTTTGTTTTTTGTAAATGCAATTCAACTGTTGATTGTGATTTCAGTTTGGGTGAGGTAAAACACAGGAATCTGTACCTTAAACAGATACCTCAGCTAATTCTAGTACTTTGGGTTCACAGTTTGAGAAACAGTGATCTATAAAATACAGTCCAAACTTCTTACCATTCACCTGAGGATTGCACTGTTAATTCAACTACTTGTAGATTCTCAAAAGAATGTTCTTTTCTTGTTCATGTCTACATGCCTCATAGCATACATCATTAACTTTATTACGTCTGCTTAATAAGCTTCTTGATCATTCAGCTGAAGTATCACTTCTATGAATAAATATTTTTTGACTTCTCTGTTTTGTTAGCCCTTGGATCCCCTCTGTATCTTGTACATTACTTCTGTTTAAATATTATCTAGTATATTGTAACTTGTGATGTTCTCTAGCTCTGTAATTAAACTTGAGTTCATACAGGTCTAAGACTATACATTCTTCCAGATTATGTCTCCAGAGCATATCTCTGGAATGTGAAACGTGAATTTCATTGGCATGTACTGGGGCTTCAACAAATGATGAACAAGTAGAATAACAGTGTTTATTGTATGCTCATAGTATTTAATATTGTGTACCATAATAGGCAAGATAGAACCAGTTGCATTCCTGTAAGAGATAACAATCTATGCTGGTGATGGCTCAGCAGCAGTATCTGCCTAATAAGTGCAAGGTCCTGAGTTTGATTTCCAGTATCAAGAAAAAAAAGAGAGATTGCCAACTAGTTAGATAATTAGAGTATGTATGCATAAAATTTCCATTGCAGACTGAAGACGATATTTTATTTCTTGCAATTGTATTTTGGTTTCAGGCACATGACTCAGGGCTTGGACATGTCTGGTGTTTTCATGGAAATGGTAAAGGCCAGTGCCACTGTAGATATTGTTCAGAAGAAGTTGGTTTATCTGTACATGTGCACTTATGCACCTCTGAAACCAGATCTAGCTCTCCTGGCTATCAATACACTGTGCAAAGACTGCTCGGACCCTAACCCAATGGTGAGAGGGTTGGCACTGCGGAGCATGTGTAGTCTGAGGTGAGCACTCTCTTCTCTGCTTGGTCTCCAGTGGTTGATATACCCAGAAGGCCATAAGGCAGGTTTCTAGTGATGATAATTTATTTGAGCTCTTTACTATTAAGGAAAACACTTTGAACTCAACTCAGATTTTCAGCCATTACTTTGGCTTAGTAAACTGTATCATGGTTTTTGATTTTCTTGTTTTTTAAATTTTTATTTTAGTACGTGTTTGTAATACATAATGATTATATTCATCATGGGAAATTGGTATATGTATGTAAGATATCTTAATTTTTTTTTTTACATCCTTTATTATCCTTTCCTTCATACGGCTTTATTAAAGGCAATTTTCCATTTTCATGCTTGATAAAATAGTCCTTGGTTTTGGTTAAAGATCTTTAACCAATTATTACTATAGCAATTTTTGCTGCTTATACAGTGTTACTCCACTTGAAAAGTCAAATGATCATTTTTAAAGTTTGGTAGAGGTTTTTTTGTTAATTCCTTGTAATCTGATAGATATACATTCAGAAATGTAAATACTCTTGTTATATGAAGGAGCTTAATTATATTAAAACTAGTATTTCAGGATCTTACTGACTTCAAGATCTTTTGCTTAGGCTGCCTGGTGTACAGGAGTATATCCAACAGCCTATTCTCAGTGGCCTGCGGGATAAGGCCTCCTATGTCAGGAGAGTGGCAGTCCTTGGCTGTGCCAAAATGCACAATCTTCATGGAGACTCTGAAGTGGGTAAGTTCAGTGTAATTCACCATGATCAGTATTTATTCATGTCTCCATTATGTATCTGATTTGTAAAAGATACTGTAGCTTTGGTAGAAAATACTACTATGGCTTCACTTTGAATGTCTCTTTAAGTAGGATGCAAAGTTTGATATTTTCTGATAGAAGAGTTCTTTATGTGGGATCCAAGTAAGATTCTTTGCATCAGCTACTTACAACAGCCTGGTGACAACAGTTTTACTTTGTACTTTTTTCTTTTTTAATTTTTTTCAATCTCTTTTTGTTTTTAATTTCAATTCTTTTATTTTTTTCTCCCCTTTACTCTGTGAAGGTAATGTCTTGCACTTTGTTATTGCATTTATTATTTTTTGTAGCAGAGAAGTTATCTTCATTTGCCTGCAGCTGTTTCTCTGGTTCCATTCCTGTAGCTCTGAAGCTTTTCTTTATCTGAGATCTTTATTTTTCTTTATAGATGGTGCATTGGTACATGAGTTATACAGCTTACTGCGGGACCAAGATCCAATTGTGGTTGTGAACTGCTTAAGGTCTCTAGAGGAAATTTTGAAACATGAAGGAGGTGTTGTCATCAATAAGCCCATCGCTCACCATCTCTTAAATAGGTTTGGATGCCTCATTGCTCTTTTTATTATGTTCTCTGTACCCTGGTAGGATCTTGTTGACACGTTGAATTAAGGAGAACTTTTGGACAGCTTTGTATAGGGTGGAAAAGAAATTAGTTAACTTCCTTACATTTCACTGAATTTCTTTTATTTGCCTTAGTTTCCTTGACCTATTGACATGGCAGAAGCATCTTATAGGAGTAGGATATTCCCCTTCAGTCATTCATTAAGCCATCTATGGTTTCTTAAAATGTAGGGAATCTGGATCTAGTATATTCTGGTCCTGTGTAAATGCATCTTGGAACTTAAAGACTATCTTTTGTTGACTTTAAATAGTATGTAAAGAGAATGATTTGGGTATGGTGTAGCCTATTTTTAAGAATTCTCACCTGATATGATGAACAGCTGCCTGGCTCATGGAAGTACATGGAGGTGGTTCTAATTTTGTTGGTAAAATAGTGCTTTTATTTTCTTTCCTGGACAGAATGTCGAAACTGGACCAATGGGGCCAGGCCGAAGTATTGACCTTTCTGCTCCGCTACCAGCCTCGCAGTGAGGAGGAACTGTTTGACATTCTCAATCTGTTGGATAGCTTTCTCAAGAGTAG